GCGAGATTCTGTCTTGTGGTTGAAAGCTAATAAAAGCTACCGAACTAGACCTGTACTGTCTTGTGGAGTTCTTTGGGCTGAACCTGACAGTTCCTGCCTTTTACTCATGAGGAGCAGCTGTTTGGAGTATGTATGGGTGATCTCACAATCTCTCCTCTCTCTGGAGAGATTTCACTGGCCTGGATCCTGCATCTGGCCACCGGTTTTGGCCATAATGTCCCTGCTTCTTCCGGGACATCATCAGTTGCCATGCCCTCGCCAGAAGTCAATTGATTTCTAATTATTGTGGTTTGGTTTTGCTTTGTTTTGTAAAGCCATGTAAATAATAATCGGCCAAGTCCAATCCTCAGAGAGCAAATTGAGGTGACTGTTTCTAAAGCTTTTAAACTGGAAGTGCAATTCAACCCCCCCAAATGTTTCAGGAGAAAGAAAAGATCAAGGTATTTTTCTTTCTCTTTTTTATCTTTTCCAACCCAATGGAACAGTGTTTCTCAACTTTTTTTTTCATTATTATGCTCCTAAGGAGTCTTTTTAGACCTTTTTTTCCTAATCACCCCTCCTCTAAAATTTTAATACCATAGATATACTGTACAGGCAGTCCTGGTTCAGTGACCACAATTGGGACTAGCAACTTGGCCATTAAGCAACGCTAAGGTTGCTAACTGAAACCTCAACTGTGCTTACTTCAGCTTTCCTTTGTTTTGCAGATCTGCAAAGGTCATAAATATGAGGATTTGTCATAAAGTTACTTTTTCATCACCATCGTAACTCTGAACAGTCACAAAATGAGGCAGTTGCTAAATGAGGACTACCTGTATATCTCTTTATATACTGAATGTATATCTGTGCTTTATACGTGAAAAGAGTAAATATAAAGCTTTTCATTCAATGCAGGGCTAAGAATGCCTAAATAAAATACTTAAGTTAAAAGTTAAACTAAAAATTAAAGAACTATTAACATTTAACTTTAAAGCTGTATTTGTTGAGTAACTTTTAATGTAATTTATTTACTTACATAAAATGTAGAGTTGAAATAGGTTTACGTGCCCATTTTCAAGCCAACATAGTTTTTTTGGTGTAATAATTATATCTGCATGAACTCCCAAATTTTACAATGCAAGTATAGCCATATGGCCTTCCTTTCTGTCATTCATGTATCTCATTAATTCCAATGCTGTCTGTATTTTCTCAAAAGTAATATTGCAGGTGTTCCCCTCCCTCAGTATTTAATAGCACTGGAAATTATATTCTTCATTTTACGTAATGTGTACAGCACTGATTGATTGGTTTATCCATCTATTTGGAAGAAAAAAATAAAGACAGCCTAAAGTTAATATTTATTTCAAATTGGCCAACCTTGTCTGACCTCAGAGCTGAACAGGTTGGGCTTGATTAATATTTTATGGGAGACCTTTTGAAAATACAAAAGCTAGGTAGATTAAAAAGTCAAAAAACATCCAGAGAAAGATAATGGCAAACTATATTTGTATTGTTGCCCAGAAATCTAGACGAACAGGTATGGAAAATAGCAATGTAGTCGTCTTATTGATAATCTTGTTTTTCTTTTTAGGTCCTTTCTCACAACCTGTGCACATTGTTGAATGTTCCTCATGATCCAGTGGCCTTAGAAGAGCATTTTAGGGATGATGATGAAGGGCCTGTTTCTAATCAGGGATATATGCCTTATTTAAATAGATTTATCTTGGAAAAGGTATGTGTGTCTCCATTCCTAATAAATGTGGTGAGTTTTCATTTACGTTTTTGTTCTTTCCAACCCAACAAAATATTGGAAAGAAATACATAAAGGTCTTTGCCTTGGATCTCTGTCAATCGCCAGGATAACTCCAAAAAATGAACAGAATGGGACCAAATTTGGTGTAGCAGGAGATACCAGCAAAAGAAAGATCAAATTTGGAAATGGGAAGGATCCAGCCAGGGGCTGGGAAGAAAAGAATTCCAAACAAATAAAAAATCCCCCAGTGTTTCCTTATGGGTGAAGGAGTTGGCTCAGAATATTGCCAATTGTCTCCCTCCTCCCTCCTGATCATTTCACCCAGAGCAGGGCCTTTGCAGTCTACTCTGTGGTTCCCTGTGTACATGTACACATAAATAACCAGACAGAAGAAGAATATGGGAGAACAGAAACTCCTACACACACAGTCATATACAAACAGAATACATATCCATACATACAACAAATTACACAGAAGAAAATATAGATATCTACCTATTGCTAATGCTGGTAAAGTGGTTGGAAATAATTGCAGAAGCCATGCTTTGCATGCTTTCCCCATCTTGTTTGTTTCTTGGATGATAATTTATTTAACTGTTATCTAGGAGTAAAAAGTATAAACACACTAAATCTCAATTGAATGCAGTACAAAAAAGGAAAAATTGAATAGAGTTAATGTTCAAACAGTACAGTACAGAAACTTGATAAAGATAATTTATTAAGGCATAACATTACTTTTTACTTGCCAAAATGAATAGGAGAATGCAGAGCAAGGAACTGGTGACAAATCAGAAGAGGACCAGCAGTTGACAATGATTGGTGTTTCTGTTATTCTGTCACAAATTAAAACACTTTTTTAATGAGAGATTTGAGTAAATTTCAACAAGAAATGCATCCTATTGAAGATAATATAACTGAATTAATTCAGCAAAAAACAAGATCTAGACGCAAAATTGGATTCTCTTGAGGTTAATTTTAATGACAAATATGACAAATTAACAATCAAAATAAAACAGCATGATAAAGAAATTAATCAAGAACTATCTTCAGACCAGAAAATTAAAAGTCAGGGATAAAGAAACCGAAGGACAGATTACAAACAACCGAAGTAGAATTGCGTAAAAACAACACAAAGTTCAGAGGTGTACCTGAAGATTTTGGGAAAGAAGGTTTGGAAAGATTTAAAAATTTTAAAAAATTTAAAATTTATTTTGATTTAGATCCAGATGAATCTTTGGAATTCTAAGATATCTACAGAATAAATTCATGGGCAGAGTGAAAAAGAAAATTGCAACTTAATATCCTTATTAAATTTACATATTTCAAGATGAAAGAAATGGTGTTAGAATTGAAAAAGTTGAAACTTGAAGTAACCTTTACGTTTTTAAACCTTTAAACTTGAGTAACACAATAACTGAGATAAGAAAGATTAGATACAGGCGGACAATCACATTCTCTCTGTACATCTCTATGGATGGTGGTAAAGCTTTTGTATATTCAGTTGAGGATGCCAATAGAGTCCTCAAGTAATTGGCAGTGACAGAATAGGGAGAAGAAAGACCAAGAAGATAGAAGATCAAAACCTGGGTCAAACAGCTGCTATTTCTTCATAAATTAGTTTGATAGTTGCCATCATGGATGAAATAAAAATATTTTCAATTAAGATTGAGAGGTTGAATAGCCCATTTAAAATGAAAAAATATTTTGAAGCCAAAAAAGGAAAATGCACATATTATGTCTTTAAGAGATTCATATCAAAAAGGACAATGCAAATTTGTTGGTATGTAAACATCTTGATCAGAATTTTATGGTCTCAGGCAAACAGAAAAAAATTGAGTAATTATATAAGTTAGAAACCTATCATGAAATTTGCAAAGACAATTTCAAGATGAAAAAGGGAGACTTATAATATTATGATTTCAGACTGAACGTAGGAAAATAACAGTTGCTTCAATTTATGTTCTAAATAAACTAAAATAATAAATGTTATGACATTTTTTTCAGTCACTCCTTGAAATTGCAGTGGGAGATATTTTGATTCTTGGAGATATAAATGGGTTTCTTTCTCCAAACTTAGACAAGTCTGTTTTACCCAAAAGGAACTGTGGCAGACTCCCTCAAAATGTTTTAGATTTTTATGGCATTACTTTCCCTTTGGCATGCATGGAAACACAAATATCCTGTAGATGAAGAATATACCTATTACCGTTCAATTCATAACACTAATGAGAATAGATATGTGCTGGGTTTCCAATTTATTATTACCTAATCTTGGGGTCTTGGAATTTCCAGCTCTTATGCAGCTCATAATTAAACAGAGGAATCTCTAGACCAAAGAGGTGGAGGCTAAATGGACTATTATTACTGCAAGAAGATATCAATAAAATATATCCACCTGCACTGTGTGAGAGAGAGTGAGCGGCTGTCTGTTTGATGGCCCATGTGAGTGTCCACTACCTTCTTGTGTAGCCATTGTGGTGATTGGTTCACCAGCAGGGAAGAGCAATAGCAACCTTACCTGGCACTGTTGACAGCAAGCTCTGAGGCAGAGGAGGAGGAGGAGGAGGAGATGGTGGCAGTGGTGGCATGGCCTCTGGCCCCTGTGTGGGAGAAGGTTGCCAACTCCTGATGTACAGTATGGGACTTTAGTAGTAAATCATTTATGGGAAGATTGTTTCTTTCTTTGACATGAAATAGACAGAAAGCCATGCAAAAACTAGTGAATGAACTGAAGCAGTTAGAATTAAAACATAAACATAACTCAGTCTTGGATTTAAAAGAAAGTGATTCTTAACTAGATTTGAGGTAAATTAGAAGCTGGATTTGCTAAACATAAATATTTTGAAAAAGGCAATAAGCCAAACAAAATGTTGACCCATTAATTCTGAAATGAATGAGAGGAAGGCATTATCACCTCTAGTTGTGATGGAAGTAGACATGTGTCAGCCACAGAAGAGATGATGGAGCAATTAGCTTTTACTCTGGATATCTGTTTACTGTATAATCTATAGTAATTTAAATTCAATATCCTTCACAAAATTAATGATCAACAAGAGGAAGCTCTTTATAAATGAAAAACAAGAAGAAACCAAAGCAGCGGTACAGAAGCTGAAACTGAATGAATCTCTGCGACCTAATGATATCTCTGCAATATACTGTAATACCGTTCAAGAAAGTTTGGTTAAATCATTAACCCAGGTAATGAGTGAGATCTAACAATGCCACAGGCTTTCTTCATCATGATTTGCAAAGAGAGAAATGACCCAACTTGTTTAGAGTCATAAAGAGCTGTTTCTTTGCTGAATATAGAGTATAAGTTTTTTACAGCAATACTTGCAGAGAGAATAAATGACGTTATAACTGAATTATTATATTATATCCTGGTCAGCCTAGATTTGCTTTAGAGACATTTATGAAAGATAGTATCAGCTATATCTTGAATTCTATCTACAATATAAATCAGGAAAAAAGAAGGTGACATGATTTTTTGTGATGCAGACAAAGCTTCTGATAACTTGCAATGGTATTTCATGTTTATGACTTTGAAGAAGATGAACCATGGCCTGAACCACTTTACATAGATTCAGAGTTTTTATAAAGAATAAGAAGCCAAGATCGTACCAAATGGTCTCCTATCACAAAAATGTAAGGAAGAGAACTGTAAGGAAGAGAACAAGACAAGGCTGTCCCTTCTTTATTTTTAATGGCATTAGAACCATTTGCAGAGAAGATACAACAATAAAATAAAATTTCAGGCATTAAATTAACAAACCAAGGACACAAATTGAAATTATATGCTGATGATATTGTACTTACAGTTACTGATCCAAAGGACTTTTTAGAATTCATAATGGAATATATGCAACTGTATGGTTCAATAACAGAATATTGAATTAACAAGAACAACTCAGACGTTGACATTGAACTTATCTGCAAAAGAAGAGCAGTATCTGCAGTAAATAATTAGGCTAAATGTTATTGCTAAGAAGTTTAAGTATTTGAGAATTTACTTGACCAAAACCAATAAAGAGCTATTTGAAAATAATTATTCACTATTTGGACAATATAATGGCAAATGTCCTAAAGATGGAGGAAACTAAAATTGTCTTTGTTAGGAAGAATTACAGTTGTAAAAGTGAACATCCTGTCAAGGCTTAACTTTCTGTTTCAGATGATTTCAGTAAATATTGAAGATGGGGTATTAATGACTGGCAGAGACAAATAACTATCTTTATATGGTTTGACAAAAGATGAGAATTAAATTTAGGATTTACAAGATTTAAAAAAAAAATGAGGCAGTTTGACAGTGCCAAACTTCAAATTATATTATCAAGCCAGACTAGATCACATCACCTTATGGCTGTGTTACCTCTGTTGAAACAGCAGGATTTCCAAATGGTTTATAGAAACACTTTTAGCTTGATACAGTGTATAAGAGATCAATAATAAATCAATAATAAGCAGTACGTTAAAAGTATGGGATAAACAGAAAAAGAATTATCACCCATTGCTTTGTTATTAATCATTTATTTTCATGAAGATGAAAATGCAAAGCAAATGGTGGAGGAATAAGAAATTGTACAGATTGCAAGTTTTAATTGTCATAAGACAAAATCCTATGAGTGTGTCTATTTGATATTATCAGAATTATCTGACTGGTTCCAGTAACTTCAGATGTATTGTCCTAAAGGAATTAAAGAAACAAAACAGAATACTTAGAGATTTGATTGAATTTGAAAACTATATAGCACAAAACTTGGAGCACTTGCTGGGCTTTAATTATAGGTAGCTGTTGAAACATAACTCAGAAATAAACAATGGATACAGATCAAAATGGGTACAAATCAAAAAGCTCCAGAGTCACAGCTGTACTGTGCCCTTCCAAATGACTTGAGAAGTGCAGCTGAGGCTAGCTCTGTATTGGTTTGAAGGCTTTCTCTGTATTGGTTTGAAGGCTTTCTAGATTATATAATAATCTAAACTAAATATATACATTCTTTTTTCCAACAAAGCCAAATAACAGATTTAAGAGAACCAGTTTTATGCTGAGAAGTCATTGGATGGCTTCCAGTGGCTTGCACAGTCTAGATGGATTGGCCTTAGTAAACATGCTAGTTATTTGTATGAAGTTTTAGGCTATTAGTTAACTGTGTTTGCCATAGAATGTCAGACTCTACTTCTTTTGAGGCAGTTTAGATGAGACAGGTTGTTTCTTGAACCCGAGCAAGAGTGCCTTAACGTTCTTCCTCTTGATAGTGAAACATTGTCTTAGCTGATTGTGTGGAAGGCAGGATTTTCCTTGGATCTCATGCTGTCATTGTAGATGTGGTGTTTTTGTTTGTTTCTTTACAAAACGTGTATGCTGCTTTAGTCATATACTTAAAGCAGCGTTTAGGCACATATTTCTTTCATGTGAAGCAACGAAGTTGAGTGCAGTCACTTAATTTTGTGACAACCATGATGCAAATGCTAGAACTGTCTTGATTACTCATGATATTATGGTTTGCCATCATTATTAATTTGATACTTTTAAAAAATCCAACACTTCAAAGAGCCTGTTTCTGCCCCTTTAAAAATGTGAGTAGGAAAATCTGGAAACAGACGATTGAGATGTAAATAAATCACTTAATATTTAATAAAGCTAAACATTTTTTCTCAGTGAAGACAATGTGTTTAAACTCTGGAAAGTCCGAAAGGTGAACTTCCTTGTTCTGTACTTCTAATTATAAATAAAAGCTCCTGAGCTTTATTTTTTTAATGTTATTTGATCATTTTACTGAAACTCAATGATTGGCTGAGTTTATGATATACCAACTAGGAAGCCAGTAATGAATACCACAGGGTTCTTATTTCAGGTATGAAAAATTAGAAAGCTGTAGTATCATTTCACACTCCTCTGAATATCTGATGTATATTGTGCAAAATGAGTGGATTTTTTCCTATGCACAAAACTGGTTGATTTTAGGAATCTGCCTTCTTACTAAGTTGAGAGATTGGTCCATTTAACCCAAGGGGTTGAGGATAAGAATCAGACTGAGGGCTGGGTTACTTCCTATCAAAAGGCCAGATGATGCCTCTTTGTAGGAACAATTTCTCCTATAAAGCTACACAAACTGGAAAGCAGTTAGTTTCTGGAGAGGAATTAGCTTAGTGCTTGGTAGCCCTTCAAAGAAGGGGTTCTTGAACAGCCAGCTTCATCTGTTTCTTATCTTTTGTCATTGGAGGTGGTGAGAAATATGCAAGGTCCTAAGAAATTTTTGTTTCTCAGAACTGGGAAAGCTTTGCATTAGTGATTCCTAGGGAGCCAGATGAGAACCAGTTTGGTGTTATGATGTAAATCACCTGGCTAGACATGGGGGGCGGGGGGGGCTGTGAGTTTTAGCCCTGCCTTAGGTACAAAGCCAGCTGGGTGACTTTGGGCAAGTCACTCTTTCTTAGCCATAAGAAGAAGGCAGTGCCAAAAAAAAAATTCATGGACTTGTCCAAGCAGTTGCCAGGAATCAAGAATGACTTGAAGGCACACAAACACACATCCAAAAAGTGAGCCAGGTAAGATTTTCTGTGTGCCACTTTTACAGCTCCTCTACAGGAGGAGCTCTTTCCTTCCTAAATATAGGGTATTTTCCCTAGTCCTGCTACCCAAGATAATTTTCAATCAGAGATTCAAAGAAACAGTTTTGAATTACCGACAGGATAGGCATGTGCGTTCTGCATGTACAGTTAAACACCACACCATCTTTAAATGTAACATGCAGATGTGTCAGTTCCTGTTTTCTATGCAAAGATGGTGGGAGATGTGATTTAGATTGGTAATTGAGCATGAAACAGAAATTAACTTTTTGCCCTTTGGCCCCAGTGAAGACTAGATTCTCTGCAATTTGCATAGGGGAAAAGAAGGCTTTCATCGGTTTCAGAGTACGCTTGTTCTCAGTGCAAATTACATGCCTGGTGGTCCGAGCCAGTTTAGGAACACAGTGGGAGGGAAGTTACAGCCTCGTTTCCTCCCATATTAATGTCCTTATCTGCATCAGAAGCAATGTGGTAGACTATGGTTTGCCTTTTACCATGCCCTTTCTAGTATATGCTGTGTAGCTCCTTACTGTATATGAATCAGCCTGGATGAATTGGTTCCTGACTGAAAAACCTTTTCATATCAGTGTTTTAAGATTACAAAGTTTTCTTGGCATATATTCCAATTATCACTATATTGTGTTAATACAGATATAGTTTCTTAGACAATGAGGTTTGATGGAAGGAAATCACTTAATGCATTTTACCAGTTTTCACATACATTTTCCTTACTGCCTGGTTGCTTTGACTGAAATCTAGAAAGTTTATCTAGCTGTATTCAGGGCACTGATTCTATGCTGTCTATACACAGATTATTCAAGATAATTTTCCTGTGACAGTCTGTGCGAGAAAAACAATAAACTCTTGGTTTAACATGCGGTCTGTTATCCTGTTTCACATTTCTCCTGTAAGACACCTTGACCATACCAATCAGATTCACAAAATACTTCCTCTTGTGCTCTAGCTCAGTGGGGAAGTCTCAGCCTTTAACAAAGTCTGCATTGTTGAAGAGTGGAATGGAGAAATGCTCAGGCTGGCAGTTTTGCAAAAAGAAGCAAAGGGTGGTACAGTTCAGATTTTGAATCTGAAACTTCTAATTAAGAGTAAGTTGTATCACATCAACAAGTATCTTGAAGGTTCATGGTTTTAAACAATTACTTCTTAAAGAAATATACTCGATATTTATTTAACGTGGCCTTGAGGGCAGAAAGGAAGCAAAAGCAGTGATTGCTATAAGAATGAGTAGTATACAGAGAGCGAACAAAAGATCACTAGAATTTTTGCTGGTATTTTCAGTGTAATCAAGGAAGCAGATGAACTGCAATGTTTAGAGCTGGAGAGGTGGTCTTTGAGAAGGTTCACCCAGCAGACATTCTATTTAGTTTCAGTTGGGTGAGAAAATGCTCCATTGCTGTTGGTTTAGGAGTGGAATTCAGGATACCTTCCCATTGTTGGCATTGTCATTCTAAGTGTATTGTTGAGTCTTGTACCATATTTTTACATTATGTAAATTATTTTATTTTTATTTAGGTTCAAGACAACTTTGACAAAGTTGAATTCTATAAAATGTGCTGGACTCTGTGTGCCAAAAAAAACCTCACAAAAAGTACCTTACTCCTTACTGATGATGATGCTTTTAAAGTGTGGGTCATCTTCAATTTCTTATCTGAAGACAAATATCCATTAATCATTGTGCCAGAAGAGGTATGAAATACTTATTTCAAGTATCCTAACATTCTCCTTTGAGCTGAGTAGAACTGATGACTATTAAGTCTCTGCAACCCCCTGAATTTAGAGGGGATAAGGAGATGTGGGGTGTGTGGCAACACTTACGTTGTGCCTGTTAGCAACTTTTTAAAGAAGCTGCATCTTTTCTTGACTTGTGCATCATGCTCAGAATCACTTTTTCCTCTTTGAATCCAGATTGCCACATAGCCATGCTGGTTACATTTAACTGCTTCCCCCCCCCCCATTCTGTTGAAGTGATTTGTCATAACGATTAGTCATATTGTCTTGGCAGCAAATTTGGAATGTAGCTTTTCTAAGGTTTTCTCTTCCTTCTTTGATTTCCCAAGCAATTCTGGTAATTTTGATAAGTAATACGATATAGACAGCTTAAGCAAAGAAGAGTCCAGTCCTAGCCCAATACACTTTTTGTTCCCCTTAGTAAAGCTGACCCTGATGCAATATAATAATAAAATCTTGCTTCATTCTCAAAAGCGGTTGGCCATGTATCTGCTGCTCTTGAATATCACTGAATATATGCACCTAGTTTTTCATAATTCTTTGAGTCATGGTCATTGTTACAGTGACATATTTTAGATTAACCTTCTACAATCTGATGCCTTATATCTGACTACAGCTCCTAAACTTCCTAGCCAACATAATCCAATATAACTGGAGGTACTAGGTCAAGGTTTTAGACTATATGTCTGCAATGATATAAAGTGCTTTAAAAGTACTTTTTAAAAATCCTTTAAAAAAACCTTGCAGTTCTGTGTAATTAAAATAGTTGGATATTCCCTTGCACTATCAAAAAACCTGCTTGAAATAAGCTTCTCTTTTACCCCATGTGCTGATGCACATTCTGAATCCATTGGGCAGATGACTAAGACATATAATCTCTCTTCTTCCTTCCTATCCAATACAGTATAGGAATGATACAAAACAGAGATACCTATATGCATATGAAGCTGTGAATAACAACAACCACAACAATAATAATACATTAAATTTATATGCCACCCAATTTGCAGTGATTCATAATGCTGGTTGTGTAATCATTGTCTAATAGTGAATGAACCAAGAGTTTCTACTTAAACAGCTAAATAAGACTCTCATTTGTCTAACTGGGGCTTGCTGACCATGATCATCCCTGAAATAGATAAACTGGTACATTTGTTTGCAATTTGGTGTAAATGGTTACAAAAGATGGCTTAAAATGAATGCATTTTTTTAATGAGCTAAACTATTTTAAACTAGACTGTTGTGTGTATGTCTCAGCGATTATATCGTAGGAGCAGCTATTGGTATACTTCCAACTTTGGCTTGAGAAATAATGAGTGAGCTTCTTCCTCACTATGTTAAATAATTATTGAAGCTACTGGAGTGATGTTATGTCACCTAAGTCAGTGTACTAGTTTAAAGATCTACCTGTACTTTTGTCTAAGACAAGATCTTAGGAAAAATTATATAGTACTTGTCTTTAATAAGGAAAGGCTGAAATATTTCTGGACTCCTAGAGATTATTCACATTTGTATACTCCTATTGTTTCCTGGCCCTGCTAAGCATAAAGATTTATACTGTCTCTCTTCAGATTGCACATTGTCTCTTACTCTTACCTCCTTCCCCCTCTCTTTTTACAGTATATTTTTTACCCATAAGAATGCTTTCTCTCCACCAGTTTTTAACAGAAAGAAATGGTCTCATCCACCAATACCGTATATGTTGGTCTGTACACTACACATATCACCTGAAACAGGGTTATTGTATGTACACTACACATATCACCTGATAACAGGGCTATCTCTTAAAAATCAGGCTGATGACAACAGTATCTCAGATGGGGCTTTAAAAGGAGAATAAAGAATCAATGGCGACTAGTCATGATGACTATATTATTTCCAAGGCCAGAAGCCATATGCTGGAGAACATATAGGAATGTACAGTTGCCTTTCACATCCTGCTTATGGGCTTCTTATAAGCACCTGGATGGCCACTGGGGAAATGCAGCTGAAGACAGATGGTCTTAAATTTCTGAACACACTGATATGGTTCAGGAATGGAATAATTTCTTAGCTTGAAAACAGCCTTATTTTGGAATTTTTTAATGCACTGTTAATTCCAAAGTTAGTTCAGCATGTATTTTCTTGTGTAGTTTTCATTTCTTCTTATTCTGGCCAATACTTTCGGCCATATGGATGGTACAAGGAGAACCAGTCTGGTGTAGTGGTTAAGGCACCAGGCTAGAAACTAGGAGACCTGTGAGCTCTAGTCCCACCTTAGGTACAAAGCCATCTGGATGACCTTGGGCCAGTCATACACTCTCAGCCCTAGGAAGTTGGCAATGACAAAACACTTCTGAAATCTTGCCAAGAAAACTGCCTGAGCTTGTCCAGGCAGTTGCCAGGAGTCAACACTGACTTGAAGGCATAAAAAAAAAAAATGGTGCAGTTGTGTTGTGTGAGAGATTTTAGAGCAACAGCATAGGTTTTCCTGCACTTATTTGTTACATTCATTCAGCTCTCATGCGTCTTTTTCTGTACAGATTGAATACTTGCTTAAGAAGCTGACAGAAGCAATGGGATTAGGTTGGCATCAAGAACAGTTTGAACATTACAAGATCAGTTTGGATGCCAATTGGGAAGGTCTTTCTGTTTGGGAATTGATTGAGCTCATTGGAAGTGGTCGATTTAGCAAAGGGATGGACAGACCAACAGTGTCAATGGGCATTAATGAAGTCTTCAGTGAACTTATATTAGATGTGTTAAAACAGGTAAGCTCAGCTTATGCATGTTGCACTAACCTGAATGATTTATACAGCATTTCTAATGCCTCATAAAACTATATGGAAACAAGCACATTTTCCATTTAGAAAAGATGTTTGGTGAGTACATTTTATATGAAGGAAAGCTAAAATTCTCTGTATAAAAATAATTCAAATTAATGTAGCTTGAATATATTTTCCCTTTTCTCATTATTTTAACCAGTTTCTGCAGTTCAAAAGAAGTGAAGAGCTCTGATAACTGAAAGCCTTTCGCTATCTTGTCTATGACTTTTAAAAAGCATTTTATAGAAATGTTAAAGTCAACATACAGTACTTAGATATTTGTTGGTACAAGAGTTACTTATGAGTTTTTAAAATGAAAGTTCTGCATCAGTATCAGTTTGTGTTTCATCTGAGGGTACAAAATGCATCATAGAGCTTCTGTGCATTTCTGACTAAAATATTAAAAGTATAACAATTTTTTTTGACCCATTACCAAATATATTGTACTTAATTTGGTCATGGGAGGCAAACATGCTCTGTGAATTTTTTAACCCACAGATTATAATTTTCTCTGACTGGATGTAGCCAATCAGAAAAAAAAAATAGATTTGACCTCCAAGCAGCCCCAGGCTTGTTTGGAGCTAAGCTACAGTGGGGCAAAAAAGTATTTAGTCAGCCACCAATTGTGCAAGTTCTCCCACTTAAAAAGATGAG